CCGAGGACATGGCTAATCCAGTCCAGGAACTCAATCTCGTTGGATGAAAACATAAATCCAATAAGTAATATCGAATCGCTGCACTCCACTTACAATTTTTAAAGTAAAAATCTGCTAACAAGTAATAAATCGTAGACATAGAATGCGGCAAAGGCTTTTTGATAGTCGGCATCGTCTCTCTTTCACCCATTATGTAAGCCATCATTTCATCAATTACTTGATTCGGATCACTTTCCGGAGGAATTAGTTTCATAATGCGTTTGAATAAATCCTCAGTGTCCGCGTTGATCGTTAAAGATCTGGGCGAACAAAACTCTGGTATTTGTTTGGGCTTATAAAAATCAAACAATAATTGTGCACCTTCCCAAGTCACTTTCATTTGAGGCACACCATGTTCTTCTATGTGTTTCGGTCGTCCCTTGTTCACTTTATTGTAGTGGCCATAAAGGCAATAAAATATTTGCTCCAAATACTTGGAAAGTTTGCTTTTTATGCTGGAAAACTGGGGTGTTTCCAACTTTGGAATAACTAGATTCAAAGTGAAAAATAAGAGTTTTGCTTCGTTATAGCAACACCACGAATGTCTTCCCATGAAATCATGGGCGATAAATAAAATCATGATCGATGCTGGAACACCTTCGTCTTCATCGTCTGATTCAGAATAATTAGAACTATGCTTATTTTTGTATGACGATTCAGCCTTTGCTCTCTCTTTGTCTTCTTTATACTGTAAAACATAATGCAACAAAATCCAAGGTAGTACAGTTTCAAGTGGCATCTCTACGGTAGTCTCTGACACATCTAACTGATTGCAAACAATGTGAACCAAATTTTGTACTAATCTCGAGAGACGTGCCTCTGGTAAATACTTTACGATGAAAGTGCTAACTTCGATCGTACAAGCCTCTAATTTTTCAAGTGCCATTAAAACAGAACTTGTCCATTTCTTTTGTTCAGCTTCATCAGAAGCGTTTAAATAATTTTGCCAGGCTTCGTTGAGACAAGCTTCCGCCCATACATAACATTCCTCGTATAGTTGAAGCTGCCATAAGCTATCTAATAACATAGATAATTGTTGTACCCTATCGACGATATTATCATTAACGGATAAAAGTTTATTTCCTTGCTTTGCAAATTTAAACGTATCTTGTAATATGTAGGCTAGCTCGGCGTATTTTTTTTCATCGTACAAATTCTGTATCTCTCCCAACTTCTGTCCTCTCTGAATGGACTTCAGTTTCTTCTCCACTATTTTAATACTGATTTGAGAATTATGTTTACAATTAGGTAGTTTTAAGTTAATAGTTTGATTCTGCTTTTCTAATTCTTGTATGTGACTTAATAATAATTCTAATGTTTCAATTACAATATCTGTGTCTCCTTGGCACAAAAAGATATTAGCTTTAAGCCACAAAACCCTTAATAATATGAAAATATTTTCTTCACCTAAAATGTCCCTCCTAACACTTGTAAAAATTATAT